AGTGAGGTTAAACAATTGACGGACGAAGCGCTTAATGATTGTAAATTTTCCAAGTAGCGCTGATATTATTTGAAAAGCTACGTGTCCTTTCACGAACGATCCAAGATTCCTCCCTTAATGCACCTCGATGAAATTTTCTGCCAACAGGCATGACAACGCGGAGGACAACGAACGCTTATCAATACCGTACATCTCGACTTAAATCGTGCGCGCACAAGACGTAGAGAGCTTGTGGCGCCGGAAAGCCATTCGGACAAATCAAACTGGCAGAGTGCGCCCGGGTAATTCCAAGTAAACGATAAGAAGATCGCACGTGTTGTGCTTGCGTGTCCCGATAACTCGCATTCTCGCCTTTACTCATTACTCGGCCGGTAATGGGTGTGTGAAGAGCGGGAGGATCTAAAGCGTCGGGACGAATGGGTAGATCGATTATCTTCGTCTTTGGGCAGGTGTGGGATCGCGAGTCTGATTACAGCGATAGTTGCACCGACGGATGGGTATCGTCGCCTCGACGACGCATCCCAAGTTTGACTTTGGAATTTTCCGAGTTGGCTGGTCTTTATTGCCCGTTGCTGGTCAAGCCTTATGATCATCTTCGAAGAGGCCGGATGAAGTATTTTGCGAATTAAAGAATTGACGGGATGCGAAGAGAAAGACTCGCTGCTTAGAGCCTTTACTTTCCTATTATTTGTCCCCTCCCTCTCCCTTAATAACACTTATTGAAATTAGGAGAGGGGATGGGGTGGTGAGGACTAGTAGACGCTAATCAAGGGAAATGAAACTCTCCGTTAGATCGGGTTAACTTCCGTTTGACCTTCGAGGCTTCGTCCCTTGACATTATCGAGTCAAAGTTGAAAGTCGATTACCGCCAAGTCCAATGCAATTAGGAGTTATAATTGAGCGACGAATTCGTTATGGCCGTTATTACGAAGAAACACGTATCGAGCGTTAAACCAAAAACTAAGCTCAAAATATTCATCATAACTTTCACGGGTCTACGATACAGCAGCGTTACCCCGAAAATGAAAAATACACGCAATCGCATCGAAAGTTATTAAAACCAAATAATAACAACAACGAAACAACATGACAAATAAAAAATGAGCTGACAACCTAAAGCCGATTAATTTTTAGCGCGTTTGCTTTGCTCTGCCGGTTACATAATGCGCACTAGTAATGACGAGAACTGTAAGTGCGTCGATCGAAAGAAAGAAACTATGCTACCGCAATAGCGACGTTGCACACACTCGAATGCGAGACAGAGATGAAGCATGAATTGTCGAATCGAGTGACTGAGATACTGGCAAATGAGCAAAGGAAGCGACATTGCAGTCCAGCATGCATGTACACCTGCGTTAGTCGCTTATCTCGAGGAGGAGGCCTCGACGTCTCACCTCTGCTTGACTTGCGACTCGGGGAAGCTCTAGAAGCGCTCGGCCACGTGCGGACGGGAATGTCGGGGTAAGGTCAGAGGACTCCGGGTCGGCGCCGTTACATCAGCCCTATCTCTCCTCTCTCGCCCCCCCCCCTCTCCCAGCTCCCATCGGCATCCCCTCCCCACCATCCCGAGTGTTTTCACGACGCCACTTGCGTAATAATTCCGAGGCCGGGAGATATCGTGTTACCCGTCCCCGACGATGCATCTACCTTTTTCCTTTTCCGCGTTCGTGGCGCCTCTTTGCCGCGAATCTTCGCGTGCTGAATTTTCCACGTGCATCGCACGCGCGGTCGCGCGCGCACACACACACACATTCTCCATCTAGTTCCCACGTGTATCTTTGGCGTTCCGTACTTTCGACCGGTACTAACGTCGCTACTCCCCCCCCCTCCCCCCGCTCCACGATAAACACAGCAATTATTTGTTGCTCGTCGTCGTTATTACGCTGACGCATAATTTTTCTTTTCTTTTCATTTTTATCGTGCCATCGATTGCACTCTCTTTCACATTTAGATTATTAGGTGAATTATCTAGAGCGATCGATGGGTACGAGCAAGATAATGAAATATCATTAATATTGCGATCTAGATGCGCAAACTTCAAACTCATTCGCTGCAATCTGATAACGCTAATCGTCGTCGGCTCTTTCCAGATAATATTTCTATTTGTTATTATAATCGAGCGCACTTGTGACTTATCATAAATAGATGCATAAATTGTAAGGCGATAATAGCGATAATCGGACTATTATTCGATTGATCGCTAAATAATGCAAAGGACACATATTCATACAAAGGTCACATATTCATAAGCAAACGTTGATGCGAATGTGCAGGGCTAGTTGGTAAAATTAGCTTGGCATAGCAATTTTTATTGTCACCAGTAATGAGTACTCGAGCGCTGTAATGTCTCACGTTTATCAAGTGCGCGCTGTAATCTTCACTATTAATTTGTCATGGGAAAGTTCCCTCTGTGTGAAAGTTCCTATCGGACTGCGATCTATCCCAGACTCAGGGGAAAAAGTGTAAAACGATTCGAGTTCAAATTAAAAATTGAGGATTCGTGAATGAATACTAACGGATGTGAAGGCGTCGTCAATTTAGGAGAACTAGTTGATCTACGAAACGAAGCTCGTGAAGCTCGAGCTTGAGCTTGAGCTTAGCGACATACTGCCGTATTACAGACGGTCGAGCGAGTCGGAATGCCCATACGCGAGATGCTTACCCATTGTCCATCGAGGCAGCTAAATTAATATCAGGGTCCACTGTGAGTTCGATATACATTTCTGTTTGTTTGTTTGTGAATATCGTGAATATCGAATGTACGTACACCAAGTGACGAGCTTATATAACTTACAAACAGCTTGATAAAATAATAACGACAATAATAATAAATAAAAAACAAAGCACGGGGTGGTATAATAGATTTTCTTCAAAATAATATCTACAAGCGATCCAATGTTCTTTCTCTTATGGATAAACTATCCTTTAAAATATAATCTTAATCTTTTTATGAAGGGCGAGATCTTGTAACGCTCGTTTCTTTCAATTAATATAATATATAACGTTCGACTACACTTATCCTTAAATATAAACTTTATGTAAAAGTATTATTTATGTCTCTTAGCATTTGAATGCCAAGTAAAAATGTTCGTATCGTATACGAGTTCAAACTTGAGCTCGTCAAAATTCGTGGGAATGGTAAAACTTCGCTCAAACTTGTTTTTTGTGATCGTGCAGTTATTTTATACATTTAGCTTATATCACGTGCATGTGTAATGTATAATTAATGCGTTAAAACAAAAAAAAAAACAAAAAAAATATATATATATATATATATATATATATATATAATACTGCTTTAATTTCTTCGGCTAAAATAAACTTTTAAATAATTCGAATACGGATGTGGAAATGACCAGTATTAGAGAAATAATATAGAAGATATTATATTTAATATTACATTTATGTGATATTTGTCTGATTTTATTGAAATTATAGATAATTGTCAATTTGATGTCTTACAAATATTCAGGAATTTTTGATAATAATTTTCTTAAAATTTAATGTCATATACATTGAAAGACTTTGTCATCGTCGTCAACATCATCATCATCATCATCATCATCATCATCATCATCATCATCATTATTATTATTATTTTTAGATATATGCCAAAAGAAAAACAATTTATTTCTTACGTAATAATGAACGAGTTTCAAGAGTCTTGACTCACGTCTCAACACTTATTACTTAGGTGCAGTCATTTTCTTATCTTGGCAGTCGTAATTATTTGCAAATTATTAGCAGTCCAAAACTTATTGTATCGCATACATTAATTTAGATGAATATATAATGTGCGCAGTATTTATTGTAATTTCTCCAAGTCACACCAATAGTAGTAATAATATTAATAGTAGTAGTATTAGTAGTAGTATTAGTAGTATTAGTATTAGTAGTAGTAGTAGTAGTAGTAGTAGTAGTGGAAGTTGAAGTAGTGATAGCAGTAGTAATGTTAGTATTAGTAGTAATAGTCTTATTAGTAATAGTGATAATAATAATAATAATAATAATAACAACAACAACAACAACAAAAGCAACAACAACAACAACAACGACGACGACGACGACGACGATGACAATAATATGTAAGAGTATTATTGGCTTGATAGCAGTAAAGTTAAATTCGAACGATATCGCAAATTTAAGCAAACGTTCCAAACGTTTTACGAGACAAAGAAAACATTATTTCCGTAAGCCAAAAGAGCGCGTGTTTTTCTATTCCTCGGCTTTGCGAATTTCGCTGGTTCGCGAGGCATTTGGCAAGACGCCCTAAATACAATAGGATGATTACATATTTCATTACAATGTTTGAAATTGAATTATTGGTAGCACCGGTGCGGCGGGGTTTAATATTATTTTCCGAGAAAGATAGGACGGATGAAATGAGACATTTTGCGTACAGCAACTTTGCTTCTTGATGGGACATTTGAGCATCCCAGCATTTTCTGCGTACCAAGTGTCATCATCTCGAAAATGGATGTTTTTAAATATTGACTGGACAGTGGTGCAGAATGAATAAATATCTGGGCGACTTTCCAGCGTGTTGTCAAAATTAGTGAAAATGTCCGAAATCAGAAATAGCTTGGAATAAAGAGAAGCTGCTGCGTAAGTTCGTAAGCTCGATTGTCCAGAATGAAAAAAGTTGGAGACGCTTCTGATGGTGGTGGAGGTGGAGGTGGAGGTGGAGGTGGAGGTGGTGGTGGTGGTGGTGATGACGGTGGTGGTGACGATGGAGGTGACGGTGGTGGTGACGGTGGTGGCGGTGGCTACGGCAAGGGGTCGAAAGGGCAGAAACGGTGGGACGAAGAGAAGGAGGGTGTAGGATAAATTGGGCCGGCTCGGCAGGTGGGTCAGCGGAATGGGCGGGGGAGGTGGTGCCGTGGGTGGAGGAGCCTCGAATAGGATCGCCTGGGAGCGGAGGTCGCGCATGGTGGGTGACGGGTGGCGGCGGGTGGTAGCCCGCGACGCGCATGTGGGCCGAGGAGATTGGCGTCACGTACCTGCGCTCTCGAGTGGCTCGAAAGCGATGTCGCGTCCCCGTAGAACAGCTGATCCGGCCTCGAGGGCCTCCAGGACGGAGTTCAACTCGTGCACCGGTCGTAGCTCAAGCTCGCTTATCGAGGTCGTGGAGGCAGGGATCTCGCCGTTGTTGCCAAGCCGCAAAGTCCGAGCTTGGTCCGGAAGGACCTTGGACGACTCTCATCTCATCGGGCGGTTGCCCGCACTTCCCTCCTGCTTCGCCTCCTCCTCCTCCTCAGCCTCCTTCGCTTCCTCCGCCTCCGCCTCCTTCTCCTCCTCCTCCTCCTCCGCGCCTCCTGCTGCTGGTGTTGCTACTTTTTGAGGAACAGAACGAGGCACTCGCGCTGGGCTACGGCTAACCTCAAAATCGGAGGTCTTATCCCGGTCGACTCGGGGGCGGCGCACGTTCGTCCTCTGGCTCGACTTCGGGGATGAGTGCCGGCTACGTTGCACGAATCACCGGGTGTACGGTCAGGCGATCGGAGGGTCGGATGAGGGGGTTGGGCAAGTCCGGGGGAGTGCCGTTAGCAGGCCGTAGAGGTAGGGGGTGGTCGTGCTCGTGGTCGCGGTCGTGGTCTTGATCGCAGTGGCGGGATGTGAGGGGGTGGAGGACGAGCGAGAGCGGGGACGGCGTTGGTGGTGGCGGTAAAAGGTGGCGGTGGCGGTGGCGGCGCGGAAGAACCGCGCGGGCAAAGGCGTCTCTCGGCTCGGAGCGAGCCAACGTTACTGCCGATACTACTCGCGAGGAGCTCGGCTGAGCTTATCTCTGGGACTCGGCAGTCGGACGGTCGGCGCACGGCCGTCGGCGTAGGAGTAGAGGGGCTCCCGACTCTCCGAGTGCGCGCAGACGCACGGAGACTCGATTCCCTTGGTCCGTTTTTGGCGGCTCTTTGTCCGTCCGGTGAGCCGGCGCGCTCGAATCTTGATGCAGGCGCCCTTCGCCTTCGTCCGAGTCGGCTCTCAGCCCTCGTCGTGGCTAGGACGTTGCTTTTACTCTCGGTGCGGCCTTTCGCCCCGGCACACGAGGGCGCAGCTACCCCACGACCGCCACTCCTTCTACCTATCGTAATAGCTTAGTCGCTGTCCCTCCCACTCGACTCGAGCCCGTTTTTTACGGTATTTGTGGGATAAATGTATGGAGGGGGGGGAGGTGATGGGGATTGGCGTTGGAAGCGGCTGGGCTATAAGGATTTGATGGATCGTCGGTAAGGTGAGAAGTAGCGCTTCTATGTCAGCGTATTAAGTGCAGCTATCATATGATATTGTAAAAGTTGTCGGTTGAAGGTGCGCGGCGCGGAGTGAGTGGTT